CACATAGAAGAGCTATGCTGTCCATGTGACCCATGGTGACAACACCAAGTGGCAGTGTCTAGGGATTCAGAGCACTAATTGTGGAGTCAGAAATGGGGGCTGAGGTCTGCTCCTCTGGATGCAGTGGCCTTGGGCAAGTGTCCAGCCTCTGGATGCAGCATTATCCTCTGTGAAAGAGGGACACATATGGGAGCTGCCCTTCTAGGTGGTTGTGAGAGTCATGTGCAAAGATTCTTACAAAACATTCACTCTAGGGCTAATGAGAGCCCCAGTGATAGGTTTAATTAAATGTATGTTTTGCTTATCACATCTTCTATATGTTCATTTAATGTTTTTGTTGGAGCAGAATAAAGAAGACAGTGGCAGGGCTTTGTGTGTATGTGCTTTTAGGTCCTGTCCCTGAGAGCTTACCTGACAAAATTAGGTATTGTGACCTTGGGCAAAATCCCTGCTCTGTTTAGGTGTGCCCTCCTTGCTCCCTGAAGTCTGACCCACCATTCTCTGCCCAACATGTACTCTAGTGGTCCTGAGCTGCTGATGTTGCTTGGACACACTTGGTCCTGCAGCCTACCCCAGTTTTCTCTGTCACTCTGGGAGCTCCTGTTAATCCTTTCTATGTGCCATTTGACTTTCCCATCCTTGGAGACTCCTTCTCAGACTCTCAGCCAGGGTTGGCCTGTGAGAACATTGATAGGAGACTAGGCAGAGGGAAGAGGGGAAACCAGTTCCTCTTTTGTGCTCTGCTTTGTTAGGAATTTTATGATAATGCCCATGTCTCCTGTGGTTTCAGTTCTTGCTGGGTTGCCCCTGATGTAATTCTGGATCCTATACACTGTCCTTGTTTCTGGACTTGTGTGCTTTTGCCTTCCTGGTGTGCCCATCTGGCTATTTTCTTGTTCCTTAGTGTACTGTTGCTGATGTACCCCATTGTGTGCATGAAGTCCCTCTGGGTGCAATAAGCTAGAGTGTTCCTGTGGTCCTGATGGGACCCTGACAGCTTCCCTAACTAAAAACAGTTTGTCAAGGGCGATTGACTGCATTATGGCACTACAGTATCCCCCAAACCTTGCTCAGGTCTCTTGGCAGTAAGCCCCTCACGGTTCCCAGGGTACTCTGTATTCCTTCATCATTGTATTTTGATTGTGGGTTTGTCTGTGTGACCCTGAAAAACAAACATCTGCATCTAGAATACACCAGCCATTGTAAGCACTATGGTAAGACTCATCATTATTAGCACAGTATATAATGTAGTAAACATTCAGTCAGTATTTATGGAAAGAACATAAACAGGTTGCTGGTAACTGGAGACATTCAAATAAAAGCCATTCATTTAGCCCACTTCAGTGCTAAACCTGACAGGTATGACCACTAAAGATCATGGTACCCAGTATTGTTTGGGAGTTCCTTCCATCTGTTAGCCCCTGGAGTCCTCACAGTACCAGTACCCCATTTTCTGGATGAGGAACTTAAGGCAGAGAGAGATTAACTTGATGGGAACTATATAGCTAGTGGCTGACCAGACCAGGAGTCAAACCCTCAGCTATATAATACACATAGGAACTATCACCTTCAAGTGCAGTGGACCTGGAACTCCCAACTAAGTAAACTAGTACTTAGACTCTGGGTCATTAGGACTTGTCCAAGGTTCTGGGTGGGTGGGGTTAGACAGCTATCAGCATTATCTGCCACATCAGAAGACCAGAGGAGAACCACATTCTCTTCCCTGATGCCAAAAAAGGCGGCCAATAATTTCTCATCACTGCTGGTTTTTTTTCTTTTAATCACAATCCTTAATCAACTATGAACCAAAAACATTTCCCTAATGAGAGCAAGTCAGACTAACAGTGTCAGTGGGAAGTGTTCATATTACAGTCTGGAGAAGAGGCAACCAAACCAACAATGCAATGATATTGGACACTTTTATAGGAAGTTTAGAGAAAAATAGGGAATCAAATAGAAAGGAAGCAGTGATTATCAATGACTGATCAGGTTTAGAAAATCCAAAGGAATGGACTCTTAAGTAGAAATAAAGATAAATAGGCAGCTAATTGTATGATGAACATTTACATATATCACATTAGTAGCTTTTATCAGAAAAAATAATAAAAACTAAGTCTTCAGATGGCAATAAAAATAGTAATCGGTGATTCCGATTCTATTGTGATCCCGAATCATTGGTGATCCCAATAGAATCTTGGGATCACCAATGACAGATGTATACTGGGCCTGGATGAGGTTCTTCTTAAGGCCTACCGTGTACTTTGGATGGAAACACTCGGTTCTTATTAATTTACATCTTTGTTCAATTCCTTTAAAATCCCAAAGGAACTTGAAAAAAAAAAACAGTTTTAAGTTTATGTGAAAGAATAGTGAGAATCTCCATGCGGGCTTTGAAAAAAAGAAACAGTGAGGTGGGGAGACTGCTGTACTGTGATATAGGCATGCTGAGAATTGTTGGTGATGAAAGCCTGGCCAGTGCCTTGGAGAGGAGCTGGTCAGCAGGACAAATGGGGACAGGTGGTGCAGGTGCACAAGTCATTAAGCAGAGGACTAGTGTTCAGTAAATGGTTCTGATAATGTTGGTTTACTCTGATAAAAATGAAGATTCATTTTTACGCACTGTCTCCCACAGCTCCACCACCTAAAGAAAACCATTTCCAATGTTTTCATGTTAAACATTTCACTATGTGTATAAACTATACCTGTTACTTAATTTTGAGGAAATGACATGTTTTTGTCTGTTTTACTGTTAATAATGAATATTTTTCATTGTGAATAAATATATTTTATAGTACATCTTTTTAATAGCTGTGTAGCTAGTCCTGGTCAGATGGCTCAGTTGGTTAGAGTGTTGTCTTGATATGCCAAGGTCGTGGGTTTGATCCCCAGTCTGGGCATATACAAGAACCAACCAATGAATGCATAAATAAGTAGAACAACAAATCCATCCCTCCCTCCATCCATCTCTCTCTTTCTCACTCACTTGGATCCCGGCTCCTGGGGTCTGAGACGTTATGGATGAGGCAAGACAAATTCACATGGACTACCAAGTTCTGTGAAGGAAAAGGGATGGCGTGGCTTCTCTCTCAAAAGGAGAAAAAGCCTCAGAGTGCGTCAGCCACTCTCTTGAGAAGAGAGTGCCTTGACCCTTGCCTTGACAAGCTTTTATTGGATTCAGTTTGCACAGGAATACAGGGTATATACACGTAAAGCTCATCAATCATTGTCAGGCAGAAATGATTAAACAATAGATAACATTCAGAGAACTCTGAGGGCTTATTTTGAGTCAGGATCAGATAGTTAAAGGGCCATAAAACTTTGAGGAACAAACTCACTTCCTGCTTGAACCTTTATAATTTAAGTTGAGGGTATTAGCTAGGTAGTATTTATAGGATTTTATGCATTCTTTCTTAGGCCTCATCACTCTAGGGAACCCGCCCTTTCCAGTACAGGGCCACACCTCCAGCATTGTTTCAGGCTTAAGTCAGGCAGGGGAAGTAAGGCAGCCAAGAGATTAGGAGAGTTCTTGCAGACAGAATGAGGACTCAGGCTATGTCAAAGCCAAGGGGTGAGGGTCCATCACCCCCTTTTTTTATAGCCCCTCAAGTCCTTCCTTGAGGGTCCTTTCATGACCATGCCTATCTTAGGTCATCCCTCTTTTGAGGAATCTTACCCGTCATTGGCTAACCAGTCATCCGCCAGGGGCCAAGCAGGGTGAAGGGAAAGGGGGCAGCGGTGGTGCCCCTACAAGGAAGATAAGCTTTGTCTTCTAAGTGACTTATGGTCCCACGTCTTTTACTCAGCTTTAGCCATGGGGGATTACAGCCTCTGAAACCAGGCAGGGCAGTTCCCAACAACTCACTCCCCCTCCCTCTCTCCCCTGTACCCCTCTTTCTCTCTCTAAAATCAGTAAATAAAAAATTTTTTAAAAAATAGCTGTGTAGTAATATCAGGAACTGTGAGAGAATTATGCCTCTGTACCCTCCACCATCCACAATATATAATGAATCAAATATCCCATCCTCAGAATTGGGAAGTTACTCAAGTAGTTTGCTGTGTTCTGTGATTCAGTGAGGAGCCCAGTAGAGAAAGTGCCTGTAAAGGCAGAGTTATCAGACACACCTGTCCCCCCAACCCCCATACACCAGATTGGGGAAAGGGAGGCATATGAGTCAGTGGTGTGTAGGATAGAGGCCTAAGTGCACTTGAAGCCCGAACCCCCTGAGGATGAGGATAATGGGTACTTGGGTTGGCACCCAATTCTCCCGTAGTTGTCAGTATAGGGGCACCTTTAGGAGGTCACCATAGTGGTAGGGCTGGTGTCCGTGCAGCACTTCTGAGCCAGGCTGTGTCCTGCTGGCCTCACTTAGTTCTCATAGTGGCTCTATGAGGTGGTAGCCTGCTGTGCCACCATTCCAGGAGGAGTCAGTGGGAGCTCAGGTCACATGACTGCATGGTCCAGCTCACTTTGCTATTTAATATCCATAGGATTATCTTTTTAGATCTACTTACCAGAGATTTCCTTGGTGGTAGGATTTATACTTCTTTCCCTACTGTTTAAAGTTGTCTAGCATAAGTCAGTGTTTTGGATCAATGTTGAAAATATAAAAGCAAAATTCATTTCAGTATGAAGATTACCTTGCTCTATACGGGGCTCGGGATTTCCACTGTAAGAAAGGAATTTTTTATTTTTGGGGGGATTGGTTTATTAACTGGGTCATGTTGTATTTACTACTGTGACTTTTTGTACTATTGAGGACTCTGCTGTGTGATCATAAGTGGGGTTCCATGTAGGGACCACCTATTTGCTTAACAATGCCATCAAGCATCCATAGATGGAGAGTCTTGCTTAACAAGGAAGTGTATAATTAATTTTTACTCATCTTAAATGTTGATGACACAATTCCAGATGGCAAGGTGTATCATTTGGGATCGTATAACAAAATATACTGCCCTGATGGCTCTAACAATAAAGGTGTTTTTTTTTTCCTCTTGAGCAGGGAGACTAGAAGCCACCTGCTGCGCTGATGGATGCTTGGTGCACCATGGGGGTCAGATACCCCCTCTCCTTATCCTGTCTTCTTTCTTTGCATCTCTCACAGGAGCTGATGGGCAGTGTTCACCGTGATTTCCAGGACCTTGGGTGTTTGGAGAGACTTTCAAGGGGGAGGCAGGCATGGATAGTTTTAAAGGAATCAGCTTTCAGATTGTCACCTTGCAAATGTAATGGTACCTAAAATTGAATTGCCTGAGAAAGTGCATTTGAGCCCAGGAGTTCTACAGGTTTGCTTGTCCACCTTTCCTTTTATAGCTGCCCTTCTGCTTTCTAAAAAATGAGCCATGTCCCTCAACCAGGCTTTTATAGGGATGCACAATGTAGGGTGTGGATAAAAATAAACAGAATATCCCTGGCTGGTGTGACTCAGTGAATGGGGTGCTGGCCTGTGAACCAGGGGTCCCCAGTTGGGGCGTATACCTGGTTTGCGGACCAGGTCCCCAGTAGGGGGAGTGCAGGAAGCAACCACACACTGATGTTTCTCTCTCTCTTTCTCCCTCCCTTCCTCTCTAAAAATAAAAAAAAATAAAATCTTAAGAAAAACAACAATAATTTTCCAGAGGACCAAACCCAGCACACTTCAAGATGCTGGTTTTAGGGTCAGCTTGCCCTTTGTTGTGCAGAGAGTTTTTTTAGGAGTGAATGGTGAGATGTTTTGAATGGAAATATATTGTATAAGGGGTCTTGGGCGGGATAAGCAGTTTTCATTTGAAGCCCTCACCATTCCTAGTCCTGTACTGTTGTCATAAAATGAGCTGCTTCTTAAGGAGCAAGTCCCATAAAAGCAACAGCATTCAGCTATTCACATTTTTCAGCTATTCGTATTTCATCCCTAGAATGAGTTATTACTTGGAAAGAAAAATAACCTGGCACTAGAGCAGTTCAAGTTAGTAGCAGTGATTCTTTTAAATGTAACTGTGGTGTCTGCAGGATTACCAGATTTTCAGACACTGGATTGAAGGTACAGGCTGAAAAGAGAATTTCTGTAAATTTCAGATTGTATATTGACAGAGTAGTTAATACCAATTTAGCTTTTGATATACCATAAAATATTCTAGTTATAGTTAGTCTTATTTCCTGTTATAAAATTAATGCCTTTACGATCTTATTCTAGTTACTGACTAGTTTTTCAGTAGTGAACATTTGTCTTTCATTAATATAAAGGAAATGTTTAATCATGGTGTCTAGCAAAACTAGTGGAATTTATTTCTGGTTTTGTACACATGATTTTTTACTTAACTTCCTCATAGTTGAATATTATACATGGTAGCACACATTCAGTGAAGGAATGCAGGCACTGATCATTGTCTCATGTTTCATAGATTTGACTGTGACCCACACAGTTGGCATTGAATCATTACAAAATAAATGAGAAATAGATAATATTTATCTTGTTTTTTGTTATAAAACTAAATGATAAATAACCTATATGCATCATTTAAATCTTGCCTGCTTCTAAAAGTAAGTTGAAAAAAATACATGATTTGATGCCTTTTTTTAATTCCATAATGTTCCTTGAAACATGTCTTAATATTGCTTATTTGAATTAAAAAATGAAGTTGGACCTTTTATCAGAAATAAGCCATCCATCCTGATAGTAATGACTAACGATGCTGCTTGGCTTTGTGACACACAGTGCCCCTACATTGAATGAGCTGAGTCTGCAGTTACAATGATGTGATAAAGTTATGTTTGTTTATTGTTAAAGATTTTGTTTAATTATTTTTAGAGAGAGGGAAAGGGAGAGAACCATCTATCAGTTGCTTTTCACCCCCAGTTGGGGATCTGGCCCATAACCCAGGCATGTGCCCTGACCGGAAATCAAACTGGAGACCCTTTGGTCCACAAGCCAGTGCTTAATCCACTAAGCCATATCAGCCAGGGCTAATGAAATTGTATTTAAAGAACACTAGCATTTTAGTTTTAAAAATATTTTTTAATTGGCAGAAATATATGCTTGACTGTGTCTCAGTCTAGCAATAAGTGATAGTTACACAAACACATGTACTCTAGACAGAATGGTTGACTGTGTGGGAACCTGGTGGTGCCTGGCGGAAGTCTGTGTGGAAAACAAGCAGTCAGGCTTACTCTTCTTGATGTGTTTTTAGTACAGTTTTGCTTTTACTATTTCATAATTATCTGTCAAAGTTTTTATATGTTATTTGGATTTGGTTTGCATTACTAATAATTGCAATGGTAACTAAGTTTTTCAGATGAAGAATTTTAACTCTTAGAAAGTATATTTAAATACATTTTAAAAATAAATAAAATTGCAATTTATGTACAGTTTTTTATTGTAGGGAAATATGACAGGGTGATAAATGACTTCAAAGTATAATAGCATATTCAGGTAAAATTCCAGAGGTGAGTAGAATTAATATTCCCAGAAGACTAGGGAGTGATGTAAAAGTTGTAACTGTTACAGAAGAGTGAGTGAATTTACTCCTCACCTCCTTACCCTAGTCCCAGCCCTGCTGTGGTGTCTGAAACCAGTAGAGCAATTTAGAGAGACATGGAGACCAGCCAGAGCTCATGGGGCGGGGGTTATTGGGTAAACTGAGTCAGAGAACAGAAAAGGAAGTGCTCAGAGGTGTAATGGAATTGCATTTCCCTGTAGCAAAAGGGGCACTGAATCTGCTCTCTGGGAAACTGAGGCTTGCCATCTGAAGTCCTTAGTAATTGTACTTTAAACATAAAGAATTCCTCAGGCACCCAGGAAGAAAATAGTAGGCTGTGTGCAGGAAGACGCACTGCAGTTATCAGTGCTCCTCGCCACAGAGCTGTGAGTATCAAGCATCGAGGGAAGGGAGTTGTGATCCAGGAGTTTCATACCAGCCAGGGTGGCTGGCGAATGCCGAGGGCAGGAAATCTTTTTGGACATGTGGGACTGTGAGAGATATGGGAAACAACTGGCGTGAGATCCAGCCACTCATGAGATGAGTAGGGTCGGGAAGCAGCACGCACCACGCTTACAGAGAGGAGATAGTGCAGCTCTGGAGCTGGGACCTCTGGGCTTGTGTGGTATTGAAACCTTAAGGTAAAATCGGCTGTAACAAAGACAGTTCGACCTGTGTAGTTCAACAGGCAGTCAACTGTTGCTGTTTAAAATAGAAACTAAAGTTCCAAAAAAAGAATCCAGCCTCTCCTATTTTCCATTTTTTTCTTTAAATTTAGATTAAATTAGAAATTCCCATGAAGAAATAATTTTCTAGAAGTTTAGCAAGTCCTTCAGTTTGTTTCTTTTCATTTTGTTAAATTCAACAAAATTAAATTGAATACTTTTATTCAAAATAACTTGTATGCTAGTCCTTATAAAATTGTCTTTATGATGCCATTCGTATACATGTGTCCAGCTATGTCTGGACATAGCAGTAATAGCACCTAAAATTACTGGCACTCACTATGAGCCAGACACTGTTTTAAACTCTTACACATATTTATTTACTCCTCCCAAAACTTTGAGGTAAGGACTATTATTCCCATTTTGTAGGTATAGAAGAACACTGAGACTAGAGTTTAGGTTACTAGTCCAAGGTCAAGTCAACTGTGGAGCCAGGCATTAAATATAGACTGGTTTCTGCTTCTGGGATTTCCTGCTGCTCACAAACCATATGAGTGTCAGGAAAACCTTTTCTGAGTGTCAAGATTTTTCTTTCTTCTTTGTATTTAATTTTTTAAAAAACCTTTATGAAGCCAATGAAGTGATGATGATTTTTGGAAAGGAAGCTGCACAGAAACAGCCTGAAGGATATGGCAGCCATTTAGCAAGTGCCAAAGTGCCCAAGGGTGGGATGCAATGACCTGCTTTCTTTCTTTCCTTTTTTGTGATTCTGCTGTTCCGACTGGTTGGTTTTGCTCAGAGATCCATATGTCTGGAGCTGCATGTTGGAAGGAGAGGAAAGAAGAGTTTCTGCCCTCAAGAAGTAGGCATCTGGGGTCTGATTGTTGTCTGTCCAAAAGACACATGATCAGTATATTTTTTTCACCTCTTACCTTATGACAGTTCCTGTTCAGTCATTTTAATTCTGCAGGGCTGTGCAGAGTGACAGGTAATGGGAAGGCTGTCTCCACCAGAGTGTGCCCTCTGTGAAGGCAGGGGCCTGGACAGTACCACATACAGTGCATTGTTGGTTTGTTTCATTTTAGGAGCCTCAGGGTCTACTCAGAGAAAAGTGAAAGGTGGCAAAGTCAGTCCTACTCACTTGTATGCAAGCCAGAGCGGTTGGTTGTGTGGGAACCTGGTGGTGCCTGGCGGAGGTCTGCCAGAACCAGCTTCAGCAGCCGGGGTGCAGTGTGTTCAGGCCCACTTAATGCAGGTAAGAGCCATCCAGCTGGGAGGAGACAGGCCACAGAGGTGTCCAGGCAAGAGCTGTGAGCAAGGTTCAAGCCTTATGTCTCTGAGTATACCTTCCTCTCAATGAAGGGCCCTGCCCCCCACCCCACTTCTGAATTGTTCCAAGTACTGTTTTATATCCTAAATATTCTCTCTATAACCCTAGCTTCTCCCTTCTTCCCATCCATCATTTGTTCAAGCTTTTATCTTCATTAGGATTGATGCGTCAGTATCAAAACTCTGTGTGTGTCTGGTCTTCCCCACTCCCCATGTAGTCTATCTTCCATACTTTGTTAGGAATCCTGTGGAGTGGAGCAATGTGCCTGCTCCATCCCAACGCCCCCTGTAGCTGTCTTGCAGCTGCTTGGGCTGCTTGAAGCTGGCCACAGACAGACACTACAATGCTACAGATGCCTTATGGTGGCTCCTTATGATGCCTGCCTTTCCCTAGACCATACTTCTCTTTTCAGGGCTGGAGTGAAGGGGATTTCTCAGGCTGCATTGTCACCCCCATCTCTGGGGACTACTTGCAGCACACTAGAGGATGTAGCCTTTGTATATTAAACTTGGTAGCTTTTTTTTTCTTGTTTTCTTATTTACCAAAGTAAGCCCCTCAAGGGCAGAGCCAGCCACCTCTCAGATTGTGCCCACGGTCTAGCAGATTGTCTACAGCTGGCAACTACTCCATGAACACTCACTGGACACATTCACCTCTATACCTCTGTGTACACTTTTATTTCCAGTCTTATTTTTGAGGGGCCAGAGGGGCCAGAATAGGGAAGTAAGGTAATTTGGGTTTTAAGACAGAAGAGATTTAAAAGATGAGGGAATATGTCCCTCCTGACCTGATCATATGCTACCTCTGAGCAATCTCCTGTCTCCTGGGTACTCTGGAGCCAAAGAGCACCATGTGGCTAGGGCACAATTAAGAGATGTCATAGGGCATCTGAGTCCTGAGCTGACCTGGAGAAGGGAGGAGTACCATCTGTGGAGTCTAGTTCTGGGACAGGTTCATGAAGAAGACAAGACTATATTGGCTGTTAACAGTCTGTCTGTAGGGTTCAGATAAGTGAAAGAGAGGCAGGAACAGCCTGGGCAGAGCCTGGGGAGGGCTTGGGAGATGGGCCCAGTGAATGGCCATGCTATCGTAAACCAGAAGCTGATGTGAGAATGTTGTGGGACTTGTCTGCAGAGAAATGAAAGATTCTCCCGAGATAGAGGTAGTGGAAGTTGGATGTGTGTGAGGCAGACTGGCCCAAACCTTCTGAGCATAGTCAAGGCTGATAGGTGAGAAGTGAAGAAGGCAGGACTCAAGTTTCTAAAATGGAGACTGCAGAGAGGCTGGTACCATTGGCAGAACAGGAACTAGTTGGAAAAGGAGTAGTGGCTATTTTTCTTAAAAAAAATTTTTTTAATTGTATTTTTTCCATTACCATTTATCCCCCTTATATCCCCTCCCCACTGCAGTCATCACACTGTTGTCCATGTCCATGAGTAATTTTTCCTTTTTGTTCGATCCCTCCACTAACACCATCCCCCCATAGCTAGCTGTCAGTCTGCTCTCTATGTGTGAGTTGGTCTCTATTTTGCTTTTTTGCCTATTCAAATCCACATATGAGTGAAATCATGTGGTATTTGTCTTTCTCTGACTGTCTTATCTCACTTAGTATAATGTTCTCCAGGTTCATCCATGCTGTTGCAAAGGGTAAAATTTTCTTTTTTTGGCCAATTGATGCAGCCACTGTGGAAAGCAGTGGCTATTTTTCTAAGAGTTACCCAATTAAAGATGTCAGCTTTGAGGTAGAGAAACCTGAGTTTTAATCCTTTATCTTTCCCTTGCTGGCTAGTGTAGTCTTAGGCAAGTTAAGTGCTTCTGGCCTCTGTTTTATCATATGCAAAATCAGAATGATAGTGCTCAGTGCTTGACACAGAAGGTTCCTGAGGCTGTGGAAGGAATGAGAGATGCTAATGGTGGCGGTGGCACCAGGATTTGAGTAATGAGGGCTGTGGATGGCCATGGGCTGAATGTGTAGATGAAAGACAAGTAAAGTGTTAAGTAGTGTCCCTTTCCTGAATTGGGTGATTAGGGGCCTGGTTGCCTTCTCCTCTTGAAAAGACTTTCCATCTCTCCAGTCCCTTCCAGCTTGACTGACGGCTGGGTCCAGGGCAGAGATGAGCCTACCTATGTGGTCTGAGAAGTCTGCTGGAAAGCACTGAGGACACAGAGAGAGGAATGCCAGAGTCTCCATCAGAGTTCAAGAACAACAAACAGTAGAGAAATTGGCATTTGGACTAAGGGGAGGAATTTGAGTGTGGGAGAACACGGGAAAGTTCCAGAAGAAGGGCTTGGAAGGGAGGAACAGCTGATCGTAGGCGGTTCAGGTCCTCCTTAGCCCACTGGACTTGGGCTAGGATCAAGGTGAGACAATAAGGACCAGAAGTGGGAGCAAGCAGCTCCCAGCCCCAATGCCAATTATTGTGGAGTTCTCAGGCTTCACCTGGGTCCAGGTGGTGTTTTGCCTGGAATACAATGGATGGGACTAGTTTTGCTGCGTAATCATACTGAGATATCTCAGGCTGAGGTAAGGAATGCTGTCATGCCTGGCTAATAAAACATGTGCTGTTGCCTCCCCAGGATGACCCTTCAGGTGAAGGAGTCTTGCCGTTGGTGCTCAGCCCGCAGCCTTCCACCTTCCACCCCCTGTTCACCACCAGTTTGCCTGTCTATGTCCTCCAGGTCTGATGCCTTACAGCTCTTTGGGTTTGTTAGTAAGACTACCATGAAGCATCCAGCTTTGAGGCTGATCAGGAGGTGGACCTTGGGTGTAGATCCATTGGGTTGGTTGCCATCATATGTGCTACTTTCTAGAAAAGGTGGTAAATGGCTAAGAAATAAAGGCTAAGTAAGACTAAAGCTCAAATTTGCTGTTATTATAGCTCCTATTAGTAAGTAAGGTGAAAATACTCTTTAAAACATTTTATATATAGAAATTCTAGTCACTTTCTTCTGTGGGAAGTTAGTTTTTAACCTGTGGAAAAATAGAGCCAGACAAATTAAAGAGTTTGCTTAAGTAAGTGGTTAAGCTGGATATATAGGTGGCTGTGGGTAATTTGGATATAAAATAATGAAAGTATGTAGCTTATTAAATTTCTAATGATAAACTTTAAATATATATTTAAAATCCATACAAATAGGAATTTTAGTTTTCTTGTATTCAAATTGGACTATTAAACATTCTTCTTAATGTCAAAAATAAATATAGAATAAAGCTCTGGTATGAGGTGGGGTTGGAGGTGGGAGCTCCCACACTGCTAGAGTGGGGGTGAATTGGAGGGTGGTTTGGTAGCACCTATCCAGAAAGAAAGCTTCATTAGTTCCTGCTGCATTCTGGCTGTATTCCCACTCACAAGATTACTCCTAAAGAAATAAGGTAGGATACAAGTGGCCAAAAGCTGGTCATCATGGCCTCTCTAATGATGTAGGAATATTTCTCTGGCATGAAGAGATGTATTAGATGGGTGATGATAATGCAGCTGGAGTTCTGATCAGCTGCTGATGTTGCAGATGGACACCTAGTGTAACTAGGAAAGGTGCTTGCCTACTTACCTGTCATAACTAGGTAAAGTTACCTTTCCTAACTAGGTAAACTTCATATGCTTGCCACATATGAAGTTGAGGGAACAGGGTTACAGGTTAAACAAGGACAGTTATTTTTTTTTAGAAATCCTTATTGTTTAAATTTCTTCAAGGGAAATATATGTAAACATAAGGGGAAAACAAGTTCTTTTTAATTGAGAAAAGTCAGGAGCACCCTGCTGAGTGGCCCTGCAGGTTATGCTGCCAGGTGAGCAGCAGTGAGGTGGACCTATACCACCTCAGCCCTCTGCTCTGTCCCCCTTATTACTCTGCTTGGTTTTGCAGAAGGTGCTTCCTGCAGCTGGAGGGGCTGCTGGGCCTGAGGATGTGCACTGCACAGGCAGTACAATCAACCTGCAGGACCTTCAGTGAAAGCAGCCCTCTACCAGGGGGACCCAAGGGTGATACCTCCAGGCTGTGTCCTGTGAGACTCTGTTACATGGTCTAGCAGGCCTGGGTGAGAACCCACTTGGTTTCTGCTCAGAAGTCCAGCCTAGTTCTTCAGAGACTTTTGGGTACATCTATTGAAAATGTTTTTCTCATATTCTATCAGGAACCAGTCTGAGGCTATACCATTTGAAACTGCCTTGTCCAAGAAAAATGCTGCAGTGATGCAAGGATTCCCTTTCTGGCAAAGCATGCACCTCTTCTGTACTTGCCTGTGTATACACATCCCTTTCCCATTTGATCTGAGCCATGGAGTTGCATTTAAAAAAAATAGACTTGTGCAGGAAATAGTGTACGAGTTCCATAGTCAAATACAACTTTATCTGTAGTAAAACCAAATGGGGTCTTCCAGCTTTGGTGTTTCAGCATTTGCCCTGAGGGAGATCTAAAAACCCCATTTTCCCTTTCTGAGAACTATGTAACAGGCTGTTTCTCAACCCCTTGGATAGTGTTCATAGTTGGGTTTTGTCACACTGTGGGGCAGAAGTGAGCTTGCTGTTATAGGAAGCCAAATTTTAATCCATGTTCTGGCAGACCAGGCAGGCTTCTTGTGTAAGAGGAAAATACTCAGGGTGAAGTGGGCACATTAGGGTCCCTATTGGCAAGCACTCTGTGGAACCTGAATTTTGAGCTCATAGTTTGGGGGTGGTAGAGTTGAAACATTTCAATAAGTTTTCTAAATTCTGTATTTGGGTATTAACATTTAATAGTAATTTGACA